TCAAGATTTTGTAAATTCGTTGCTGACCTGAATAACATGACTATTTAAAGCGTTGTTCAGGTGACATTAACTCTTTTTCTGTTGTTGTAATTTCATGTGGTGCTTTAAGCAATCTTTACCGAGTTGTGGGAAGTCTCTGATGTTCTTCCAGAGCAATTATTTATGGATCTTTATGTAGGAATACACCTCTATTTTTGCAACAATCATCTAATCAGGGCGCATCTCATAATTTATTTAACCGGTGCTCTTCCATTGACTCGCAACCGAGTTCCACGCTTAGAAGTAGTGAAGGTCATCAGGAATTCCTCTTTCTCACTATGAGCAAAATGAGTGACACGCCTTCACAGTTTTATCTGCCACACGACCAAAAAAGGAGATTTTGGAAGATTCAAACTAGCAAGATGTCATGAGAGCGAGAGCATCAGTGAGAGAGCGAGGGCCGGAGAGGGCGACCGGCAGCAGAGAACGAGGACAGTGGACAGCACAGCGATATGAGGGGTTTCAACGTGAGAGCAGGAAACAGCCAAGAGAGAACTATGGGGGTTTTGAGAAAAGGATCTACAACCAAGCAATTCCTTTCTTTTTCACAAATTTCCCAGATGAATGGTCTTTTGAACAGATGTGGAGAACTTTCAACAGATTGCGAGAGGGCAGGGTTATAGAAATTGAATGTCCCAAAAAGAGAGACCGCATAGGGAGAAGATTTGGTTTCGTCAGGTTCTTGGAGGTGAAAGACGCTGAACAACTGGAGAGGAAGCTAAACCAAATTCAGATCGGGGGGTTCAATCTCCAAGCTAACAAACCCCGTTTTGAGAAGTCAGGTTACCAGAACCAACAACAAAGAAATATGGGAAAGAGGAGGCCGAATGTGGCCACGTCCAATGCAGGAACTAAAAGGAATCTGACTTATGCAGAGATAGTCAAAGGAAACAATGTAGATTACCAAAGTATGGGACTCAATGAGGGACAATACCACGATGCAAATATCAGAGAGCAAAGCAAAAGGCTCAGAGCGAATGATCAAACGAAGTGGAGATGGAAACCAAAACAGAAACCTCAAGCTTGGTCAGGAATGGAGTTTAATGTGAAGCAAAATGAGTATGGGTGGCTGGAGAAATGCTTCGTAGGAACAGTTCGCTCGGTAACTTTGATTCCAACTTTGCAAGAAAAATTCTTCATGGAAGGAGTTTTCTTCTGCAAAATCAGAGCAATGGGTGGTAGGTTGGTCTTGATGGAAGGACATGATTATGAAGATTTGAAAGACCTTATTGAAACTGGCCAAGAGTGGCTAGGACAATGGTTTGAGGAAATCAAACCATGGAAACCGACGATAGTTGCATCGGAAAGGTTTGCATGGATTAGGTGTTTGGGTCTACCTTTACATGCATGGAAACCGGAATTTTTCCAATCTTTTGGAAGTCTTTGGGGCACTTTTGTTTCGCTGGATGACAGTACCAGTGGGAAAATACGTCTCGATGCCGCCAGATTTCTAATAGCAACACCGTTGTCGGAATTCATCTCAAAGTCCTTAACCATAAAGATAAATGGGGTCCTGTACAAGGTAAAATTTTCAGAGGAGGAGTCCAACAATGGTCTATACATAATGAATTCAGATTTCAAGTTAAAGGGGGGTAAGGAGCATGAAGATAAATGGTTAGCAGAAGCTTCTGAAGAGGATTCAGATCAGTATTCGGGTGATATAGAATCCGAACAAGTTCAGGGTGATGAAGAAGATGATGACATGGCATCAGATCTACATGTTCCGGAGACAGAACTAGAAGATGAGGCAAGAGAAATAGACACGAGGGCACACTTGTCAGTTGACAGCTCAGCAAAAAGGTTGATGAATCACCAAAATAATAAAAAAGGTCTTGCCGAAGGATAGAAGATGAGGCTTCAGTGACAGGGGGACCGGATGAATGTTTTCAAAAGGCAAACGAGATTACAACGGGTGGGAAGGAAGGCTCAACAAGAAAACATTTAATGATTGCTGGGCTCGAGGAAGAGAGGAGCGGAATGGGAGCAGAGTTGGACGTCAGCGAGGAAAACATCGGGAACAGGGAGTTTTTCAAAAAGGGGGCAGAGAAGGAAGCTTCACAAGTAAACATATCAGAGTTTGCAACGGACAAGACTATAGCTGCTGTTGAAGAGAGGCAAAGGAAAGAGGGAGAAGAAATTGAGCTGATTGGGCCGGCAAAGAAATTGAATTCGAAGGATGGGAGAAACGGGCCTAAGGAAGATGGGCCATACTATGAAGAATTAATCTCATTATCTTTGGGTAATGTTAATGGGCCAAACAATGAAGAACCAAACCCAACTTCTTTGAGAAAGCCTTCCAAAATGGTCAAAAAGGCAGCTACCCACGTGAGGACCGAAAAGGAAGACAGTTTCTGGAAATATATGGCCGACGATGCAGGGGAGATGCCGAACTGGACCAAAAAGGGGGAGGAAAAAAAGAAGAAGCAGCAGAAACGAAGAGTGAAGACCTGCAGATCAGTCTACATGCAGTCAGGCGGACTTAAGGGTTTTCAGCTACAGAAAAATAAGAAAGGAAAGAGGGCGGTGACGGAAAACATGGCACAGGAGGTCATTTTCGAATCAAATTCAGCAGATTTGGTGGCAGATGAGTCCATAAATGACAGCAACATTCAAAATTGCAACAAGAATTTTGAAGTGAAGAGTCAAATTAGAGACACAGAAGCCCTATTATGCAGAATTAAAGAATTGGGGGTCTCAGTA